GAAATAGCCATGAGTAGTTTCAAAATGATTTGTTGCCAGGTAACAATACTATTATGCTTTTTTACACTGGACTCAGTGAGCAAAGCCATTGTCACTGAGGGAACCCACGCCTGCTGACATCTTCGCTGGGACATAAATGCTGGGAAATAATAAGAAATAGCCATGAGTAGTTTCAAAGGAGGTCACCGGGTAGCAATACTATATGCTTTTTACACTGGACTCAGTGAGCAAAGCCATTGTCACTGAGGGAAACCCACGCCTGCTGACATCTTCGCTGAGGACATTAAATACTGGGAAATAATAAGAAATAGCCATGAGTAGTTTCAAAATGAGTTGCCAGGTAACAATACTATTATGCCTTTTTACACTGGACTCAGTGAGCAAAGCCATTGTCACTGAGGGAACCCACGCCTGCTGACATCTTCGCTGAGGACATAAATACTGGGAAATAATAAGAAATAGCCATGAGTAGTTTCAAAATGAGTTGCCAGGTAACAATACTATTATGCTTTTTTACACTGGACTCGGTGAGCAAAGGCATTGTCACTGAGGGAACTGTAAAGAATGCCTATTATACTCGAGAAAAATGCAGTATATTAGAAGAGCAGTAGAATATGATGCAAGTCTTAGTCTTTTTTCGAAGGGGAGGAGTGAATGCTACAGCTGCAATAATGTTGCAGGTACGGACAATGTTATATCAGATCGCTGAAAGCACCCACGCCTACTGACATCTTCGCTGCGGACATAACATCTCTGTATTCTTGCTGTAATTAGAAGCGTATAGATAGATATACCCTGTCGAGTGGATACTGAGGCTGTCATGTACGGCAGGTGAACAATTGTCCAGCCAGATGTGGACAGAAAGCTGTGATCCACGCGTATTTTTCGACAACAACAAAATAGGTCATGTTAACATGGAGTACCTTCTTGATTTCAAGCAACTCTTCAACGGCATACCCACATCCAAATTAGGCGAAAGGCGTTTTAATTTATGTTGTCACATCAGATTGCAATAATGTTGCAGGTACGGACAATGTGTATATCAGAATCGCTATAATACCCACGCCTATGACATCTTCGCTGAAGGACATCTCTGTATTCTTGCTGAATTAGAAGCGTATAGATAGATATACCCTGTCGAGTGGATACTGAGGCTGTCATGTACGGCAAGTGAACAATTGTCCAGCCAGATGTGGACAGAAAAGCTTGCTGATCCACAGCGTATTGTTCTCGACCACAACAAAATCAAGGCTCATGTTAACATAGGAGTATCTTCTTGAATTCAAGTGGCAACTTCTTCAACGGCATACCATACACATCCAACTTAGGCGAAAGGCGTTTTAATTTATGTTGTCACATCAGATTTTGCAATAATGTTGCAGGTACGGACAATGTTATATCAGATCGCTAAAATCACCCACGCCTACTGACATCTTCGCTGAGGACATCTCTGTATTCTTGCTGAAATTAGAAGCGTATAGATAGATATACCCTGTCGAGTGGAACTAACTGTGTACGGCAAGTGAACAATTGTCCAGCCAGATGTGGACAGAAAAGCTTGCTGATCCACAGCGTATTGTTCTCGACCACAACAAAATCAAGGCTCATGTTAACATAGGAGTATCTTCTTGAATTCAAGTGGCAACTTCTTCAACGGCATACCATACACATCCAACTTAGGCGAAAGGCGTTTTAATTTATGTTGTCACATCAGATTTTGCAATAATGTTGCAGGTACGGACAATGTTATATCAGATCGCTAAAATCACCCACGCCTACTGACATCTTCGCTGAGGACATCTCTGTATTCTTGCTGAAATTAGAAGCGTATAGATAGATATACCCTGTCGAGTGGATACTGAGGCTGTCATGTACGGCAAGTGAACAATTGTCCAGCCAGCTGTGGACAGAGAAGCTTGCTGAACCACAGCGTATTGTTCTTGACCACAACAAAATCAAGGCTCATGTTAACATAGGAGTATCTTCTTGAATTCAAGTGGCAACTTCTTCAACGGTCTCCATACACATCCAACTTAGGCGAAAGGCGTTTTAATTTATTTTGTCACATCAGATTTTACCACACGCGTTAGACATTGAATAAGAAGCCTACTCTTTGTACAGAAGTAACTTAAAACTTCCATTCATGAGAAATAATCGACCCGTTAATAGATTAACAACTTTAATTCATCAAAGGGATAAAAATCTCAATAGGCCTCCAATATAGGTGAGCAGGAACTTAATGAATTTTCTCTTGTTTGGTCTTCTCAAAGCTTAATCTTGAAAATATGCATGTTTCGTGTATAATACAGATACTAGATACCGCGAAGATGACATCCGTCCTAGGTCGTGCCATGCGGATTTGAACGTCATTTCTGCGGAAATCTGTTACATTGGCATACAGGGTCTGTTGTTTAGTGCATATTTTTTTCTTTCGTTACAAGATATTTTGAATAGCAGAGTATTACATATGAACATTTATATTACATAATTGAATACCTATATATAAGGGAAATTATATGGTATGTATACATACATACGCATATGGCAGTGCATTAAATGAATACTACATTTGTTGTATAAAAAAGCAAATGTACTACATTTAACTGGTGACAATCAATGTGGAAAAAGGATTTCTACACTACAGATATATATAAATTACATTATGCAACACTGCATTTGGTAATCAAAACCGTGAAAAACAACCTTATATTTAGCGTAGGTATAATGAAACACTCAATCGATTTTGAGGGCAGCTAAAGGTCCCTCCTCATCAGGAGAAAGAAATACATAGAAAGAAGAAAATAGGAATCACAGAAACACGTGGTGCTTATCAGCACTGCACGTCGTTATAACTAGATTTTTAATCAGAGTTGCACTGGCCGCCTACTTTTACTGAGCCAGGCTGTCTGATCAAGCATAAAGAAATATTAGCGAAGTTAAAATAGGGAGCGAGGGGGCAAATGCACATTACGCTCAAAATCTGAACTTCAAATAATGGAAAGCAAACCACTGAACGGATTTTTATACCTCTGGTAGTACCAAGTGCGAGGAGGAGGGAACGCCATCTATCGGCAAAAATAATTGAATTAAAGACAGTAGAATTTTAAAGGCATTAGGAAGGACTGGATTGGACTTCAAATCATTAACTAAACTTTCTAAATCTTTGTGAATGTGAAAAGCCTCAAGAAAATCCAATTCGCCTATGGAAGAAGCCTTTTGGATGATTTTTGCAGACCCAAAATCAAAATATGGTTAAAAGTCCAGCTATGATACGCTATTGAAGACTTGTTAATTTCCCTTTTTTGACATAAGATTCATGTTCCTTGATACGAAACTTCAACGCTCTTTTTGTTTGGCCAATATATCTTAAACCACACTGACATGATATACTATAATTCCCCAAGAATTCAAGACAGAAACGCAATCTTTTAGAATCGAAGGGTGAATTTTATTAATAGGGGTAGAAAACCGACTTGAAATTGAATTTCTGGAGAATCCGTGCAATTTTATAGCTAACAGAAGGATAAAATGGAAGCACGACAAGGTCATTGATATTATTTCTAACAGTGGAATGTCTTCTTTGATGGGAATCTGAAAATTTTTTGACGGCTTTATCAATAATCACGGGAGAAATCCACGGTCAATCGCAACTGCTCTCAAATGAAACTTAATTATTAATATATAATTCTCAAAATGCTTACCAATGAACTTAACTATTTGAGAGCCAGTTGCGATTGACCGTGGATTTTCTCCCGTGATTATTGATAAAGCCGTCAAAAAAAAAAAAAAAAAAAAAAAAAAAAAAAAAAAAAAAAATTTCAGATTCCCATCAAAGAAGACATTCCACTGTTAGAAATAATATCAATGACCTTGTCGTGCTTCCATTTTATCCTTCTGTTAGCTATAAATTGCACGGATTCTCCAGAAATTCAATTTTCAAGTCGGTTTTTCTACCCTATTAATAAAATTCACCCTTCGATTCTAAAAGATTGCGTTTCTGTCTTGAATTCTTGGGGAATTTATAGTATATCATGTCAGTGTGGTTTAAGATATATTGGCCAAACAAAAAGAGCGTTGAAGTTTCGTATCAAGGAACATGAATCTTATGTCAAAAAGGGGGAAATTAACAAGTCTTCAATAGCGTATCATAGCTGGACTTTTAACCATAATTTTGATTTTGGGTCTGCAAAAATCATCCAAAAGGCTTCTTCCATAGGCGAATTGGATTTTCTTGAGGCTTTTCACATTCACAAAGATTTAGAAAGTTTAGTTAATGATTTGAAGTCCAATCCAGTCCTTCCTAATGCCTTTAAAATTCTACTGTCTTAATTCAATTATTTTTGCCGATAGATGGCGTTACCTCCTCGCACTTGGTACTACCAGAGGGTATAAAAATCCGTTCAGTGGTTGCTTTCCATTATTTGAAGTTCAGATTTTGAGCGTAATGTGCATTTGCCCCTCGCTCCCTATTTTAACTTCGCTAATATTTCTTTATGCTTGATCAGACAGCCTGGCTCAGTAAAAGTAGGCGGCCAGTGCAACTCTGATTAAAAATCTAGTTATAACGACGTGCAGTGCTGATAAGCACCACGTGTTTCTGTGATTCCTATTTTCTTCTTTCTATGTATTTCTTTCTCCTGATGAGGAGGGACCTTTAGCTGCCCTCGAAATCGATTGAGTGTTTCATTATACCTACGCTAAATTATAAGGTTGTTTTTCACGGTTTTGATTGTCACATTAGCGTGTTTCTCTTCTAGTAGACTGCATTTGGTATTTCATGTGTTAAGTTGACATATTTACAATAATGGAATTACGAGAATTAGATAACTCTAAATAACAATTTATTACATCAGATGAATACAAATATTTGCACGTGTCAGATAGTTGATTCGATGGAACAAAGATTTTAATATCGAAGGAGTTAGATAACTATATAAAAAAAGTGCTTATATTATAGGAGCTGAAATCGAAATTTATCTACTTGGGGAATGATTTCCAGATTACTGCGTTTTTGCAGCGCAATGTGTAGTGATAGCATGTAGTTTCGATTGGACAACATTGTTATTTTGAGTATTTTTCCACCATGCTGCTCGAAACATGGGTGCTGGCTTTTTTATATGGAACTTCGCCATCAAGCAACAGTAAAAGTAATAGTGGTCTGAGCTGCCCACTTTTGAACAGTCGCAGATGCCTGCGTTGGAAAGACCAAACCTATGCAGACATGCTTTGTAAGGTCCATCTCCTGTTAGGAAATGTGAAATACTGGCAGTTTTGCTCTGCAGATCCATGCTTACACTTGGGAGCATTGCATGTGTACGTCGACCTGTTGTGGCATCATTCCACTTGGCTTGCCACTGTCTTATGAGAAGTTTGCAGGTAAAATGCTTTAGCAGCGAGATTGGAAGGATTGTAGGACACTCAAGTATAGATGCACTATTGGGAGCTTCTTTAGCCACCACGTCAGGACTTTCATTTCCTAGAATTCCTACGTGCCCTGGCACCTAACTGAGTACGGGACGAAAAGGGATAGGAATGCTGAAGAGAGTTCTCTGTATTTTGTGAACCAGAGGGCTCTTGCTGTGCATGCGTGAGAGTGGTTGAATGCTTGAAGCAGAATCCATGTAAAAATGAACTTGATTAAGACCATTCCTACGACTGTGGATTATTGCTGCGTATAAAGCTATCAGTTCTGCCTGAAACACTGAATTACTTTCGTTCAGTCTTCGTTTCCAGAATGAGAACCACCAATGTGACCTGAGAAGACCTTTCAAATGACCACAACTGCTCGAAACGACCGAGATTTCGATTGTGTTCAATTTTTTTCCCTAAGGTCTATAGCAGCAGGTGCAGTTCCCCCAAATGGATTGTATCAGTTTATTCCAGACAGCTTGTCTTAAAAGGCTAATGGAAGCTTCTTTGTTAGGAAATAGAAAGGATGCCATTTGAAATCTACACACCTCTTTGTATGGTAATGGACGGCGGCAGAAGGAAATGGACCGGAAGGGTAATGGTTGAGGACGACCGTTTCGATACTTTATGCATACAGATTAACGAAGGCTTCAATTTTCTAAGGGTTAAAAACGGCGGCTTATTATCATGGCTTGCTTTGGTAATGCTGTCTTTATCCAACTCGCAAAATCCACATCATGTGCCAGCCTCTGTTTTGGATCCATCAGCGTATAATGCATGATCATTTTGGGCCGGAGAATCTGAGTTTATATGGTTGGTGTCTGTTAGGTCAAATGTGCTGGATGACAAAGGGAACGAACTTTTTTTTCGTAATCTATGTGGATTATGCTCTATTCTCACAGTAGTGTATATTTATTCAGCCTTATAGCTTTTGTCACTGCCTTATAACTTTTATCACAGTCTTATAGTTTTTTTTTCCCTCTCGACAACAAGGTCAAAAGGGGGGAAGTCCCACAGTTACTCGTAGCACAGATATTGAAGAAGTTCTATAGGCCCGACAGATGAGGAGCTGACTTCTTTGTATGGAAAGCAAAGTTTCTTCCGTGGAAGAAGTGAGGTTGTGATCCCAGATGGAGGCTCCGTACAAAATAATGCATACTGAAATGGTTTTGTACCAAGATTTCAGGAGATTTGGCGGTATGCCCCATTTCATACCTGCAGCACGTTTCATACTGTTAGTGAGATTACCAATGCGCTGCCTGAGAATTTTAAGGTGAGGAGGCCATGAAAGTTTATTATCAAAGGACAGACCTAGCTATGTTCTTTCTGAGACTACTTTTACTGAATGGCCCTGCAGTCTTTTAAGAGGCTGACGGCGGCTTATTATCATGGCTTGCGTTTTTTCTGCACTTATAAGTTTATACTCCCTGGCCCATTGAGCAAAGATATCTAGATGCTCCTGCGATCTTTGTTAGATGTCGCTGCTGCTCACTACAATAAATAGGAAATCATCAGCATATACCGGAATCTTGACTTGGTGAAGGTTGATGAAGCGCTGGAACGCATGTGTGCTACTAAGTTCTACAGGGTCGGACGTAAGCACGAACTCTGAGGGCAGAAACGAGTAGTGGAGATCATGGAAAAAATTTAACTGGATGTTGCATAGGCGCTTCAAGTTTGTTAACTTCTGCAATCACTTGTAACCAATTTAAGCGAATTATTTGCTTATTATTATTGTAACCTATTTATTGAATTAACTACGTAATGTTATTTCTGCAGTAATATGATGTTTACTGGTCTCAGAGTTCTAGCTGGTTCTAGATTTCTGGTCTCAGAGTTCTAGCTTTGGGATGTCTCGAATGATAAGGGCATTGCTATGTATTTAAAATGCAAAACTTTTTAACCGGATTATATTGAAACATAAAATCATTTATACACGTTCTAAATTACACTTTAATATTAGATTGAGGACAGGATACTGAAACATTTTATTTTGGGCTTGGAATGTATTACCATAACTGCCAATACAGTGCAAAAATCAGTTCTCTTGCATTGTTGAATTGCTTTCTCAGATCAGTAAAAGTCATTTGGTTAATTTATTTATTTACAGCAAAGCTCATTCGATATGATTAATGTATTCGATAAATATTCATGTAGAATGCATGAACAACTATAAGCTAGCGTATTATGATTTGTCTTTTAGAAATGGAAATTGAATTCTCTTAAAATACTTGCTTGTTATAGTGGGAAGAGAGACTGCTCTCCATTTCAACGAAAACAAACAAACAAAGAATTCTGAAAGCTTCAGATTTTATATTACGCTCAAAGAAGCGTTTTTTTTTTTTTCCATTTACACATACATGTACTTATCAAGAGGTGTTTGGGCTAAAATATTTAAAAAGAGCATATCTTTAGAATTCCGGATAGACAGTCCGCTGGAGATGAAAATATTTTATTACATACAGTATGTTGCCACTGCTCGCTTTTTTTAAATCGTTGAGTTTTGTTAAACACAAAATTCGTTTTAAACGTTTTACAAATATAAAACAGATAATAAAACAACTACGAATTTCAAAATTCGGGGTTCCAGGTTCCCATAGTGGGAAGAGAGACTGCTCTCCATTTCAACGAAAACAAACAAACAAAGAATTCTGAAAGCTTTCAGATTTTATATTACGCTCAAAGAAGCGTTTTTTTTCCATTTACACATACATGTACTTATCAAGAGTGTTTGGGCTAAAAATATTTAAAAAGAGCATATCTTTAGAATTCCGGATAGACAGTCCGCTGGAGATGAAAATATTTTATTACATACAGTATGTTGCCACTGCTCGCTTTTAAATCGTTGAGTTTGTTAAACAAAAATTCGTTTTAACGTTTTACAAAATATAAAACAGATAATAAAACAACTACGAATTTCAAAATTCGGGGTTCCAGGTTCCCATGTTGTGGAGGATTACGTTATTTAGAATTTGGTGTCTCTAGGTATCATTGTTTTTTCATAGTGCGAGAAACATACATACGCTCATGCAGATTCTTCATTATTTAATTTCTTTAAATATGATACAGGACGATAATATTTGATGGCAACAATTTAAAAAGTGATCCTCCGTTTATAATGAACCGGCACAAAAATGCCGTTTCGAGACTAATAGTACTTCTGGGATAACGCCCCTTTGGTCTTTAACTCCTTGAAGGCCAAAACGCCTGAGACGACCTTTCAATCAAACGACCACAACCGCCCGAAACGACCGAGATTTCGATGTTCTATTTTCTCCCCCTAAGGTCTACAGCAGCAGATGCAGTTCCCCCAAATGTGTTGTATCAGTTTATTGCAGACAGCTTTTCCTAAAAGGCTAATGGAAGCTTCTTTGTTAGGAAATAGAAAGGATGTTATTTGAAATCTACACACCTCTTTGTATGTTAATGGACGGCGATAGAAGGATATGGACCGGAAGGGTAATGGTTGGGGACGGCCGTTTGGGTACTTTATGCATACAGATTAGCGAAGGCTTCAATTTTCTAAGGAAAAATATCTTGCATATACATGTATAGATAAAAAACCCATTTTTATGCATTTCGTTTAAGAATTAATTATGTAAATGAAAAGCACCAAACAAAATACAATGTGTATCATCAGTACATAGGTAAGGTCGCACTTGTTTTTCTCTATATATGTAATTCAAAATCACATTATATGCATTTGTACCGAATACTATTTTTTACCGAAATACATCAATGTATGGTGTTAGAAAGATATAGCTTATTAATACCAGTAATGGGGCAAATAGATATATTATACATCTAATTGTTAGGTGTATTATGCATTGCATAAATTTTAAAGTATTAAAAATTACGGTAAAATTTGTTAAGAAAGCTGCTAAATTTAATTGTTTCGTATTCGAGGAATTAGTTTAAGATCTTATGCCGAATTACAGCGGCTCTGAGAACTGGCAATTGCCAAGTAGTAAGGAAATGCTTTAGCTGTATAACCTAAAATAATAACTATAATTTACTAAAATAATAACTGTAAATATAACTGTGTAAACTGAAATGACTAAATTGTAGAAATTTGCTATATCAAAATTCTGAAATTTTCTCTTGTTATTTGTTTTTTATATTTTTATATATATTTATATATTTGTTTTCCTACTCAATGTTTTATTATGTTATTTTATATATTTGTTTTCCTATTTCAATTGTTTTATTATGTTATTTTATTTATATATTGTTTTAATATATTTTATATATTTGTTTCAATATATTTTATATATTTGTTTTCCCACTCAATGGCAGAAATCAGTTATTTGATGGAGCCTTTCGAGCCTAAAATGCTGAATTCTACTCAGTTGTCCACTACATCACTGTACAAGCAAATTCCTTGTGAATTATCTCTTTCTAAGATCACCAATATGGTCTTTACTCGGAGATTTCATCATTAACATCTTCGCTTCCATCACGAAATCATCTCTACCAACAGTAAAACATTCAATTGTGAAAATGCTCGATTCCATATGCTTTACATATGCTAACTTCTGTTACTATCAAAGCTTAAATGGCGCCGGGCCCACCGAAGATCGGCTCCGGTACTTCTTCCTTTTTGGGATAAATCATAATTCTAGCCAGAGCTCACCGGAGCCCTAAAAAGAAATTCTTTTATGTAACTGAACAACAACTTCAATAAAAATTAGATCTCAACAATTTTATTTTTAGTAATAAAATTACATTAAGAATCGCTTATTAAATTTTAATTCATATATTTATATTTTATTAAATTTTAATTTTAATTATTTTAATAATTAATTACAATGTTTTAATTATTAATGCTTTTATTAGTCATTTATTTAGTGATGCATGCTTTCTACTCTTTCCTGACGGTTTTCCACAGGGCTCCGGCCCTTCTAATTTTAGAAATTAAGTCCTGGTTACTGTAATTGATGCATTACTAAACCTTTCCACCAGAATGGGAATTTCTAAAGAAATTCGGTACGATGAAGGAACTTTAGTTATGCCAGTTTTGGCCTCGTACAAACCAGTCAATTTCTCGGTCCATTCGACAGAGTCTGGGAAAATTCGGAAGTACTTTGTCCGA